AGTTTATCAACCCAAATATCACAGCCAGGAGTACCGTCCAAATTCCATCCATTACAACCAAACAAGGAAGAAAGTACAAAAGCCTGTCTATGTATGACCCTCATAGTAGGATGATGAATATGCTACTCCAAATATGATAAACCTGTCTAATCCTTATGCATATTCCAAAGCTGAATGCCTAATTTCCAATAAAACATTGAGAGCCCTTTTCTTTAAACCCCTGGAATGAAGCAAAGTTAAACCATCTTCTTTAGGTCCTCCCTTGAGCTACTAAAGACAGCAAGCATCAAATGAAACTAGTAGCTAGATACAAAACCAAACCACTCGTTATGTTTTCCTGGATGCATTAAAAGAAAAAGACTAAACAGTAACAAATTTAATCTTGTGACTCTTCAGCCTATTCCCTGGTAAGATAATCCGCCACAAGCTGTTCATCAGCTTTGGAACAAGAGATGAAAACTGTTGAAACACGGGCATGTCACGTTTTCGTACTAAAGCCGTGTTTGTTTTTATGACAGGTTTTGATAATGCCAAACCGCCGTGATCAAGTCAAACCCTGAATATACAAGGCGAAGAAAGAAGACAAGAACAAGAGCTAAAAGAAGACCAAGAACGAAGACCTTAGTCTTAGTGTCGTTGAGTCGGTCTTCATTGTGATCAAGACCGACCCAATCTTTACACCTTGGCTCTTTAGGCTAAAAACCTTCATTGCACTTCTTAAATCATAAAAATGTTTTTCAAACATGTTTAAATCATTAAAAACACTTGGTGTTCGCCCAAACCAAAAACCAAGCCATCCGGCGTTCGGGTTTCAGAAACTGGCGTTCGGCTCTCGGTTATCGGCTATGGTTTTTGGCGTCCGAACCAACCAAGTGGTTTTCAACTTTTTATGATTGGTTTTTACTCTTTGGCATGTTTAAACGGTTCTCCAACAAAAACACCTTGAAAACCATCTTTCGCTTTTGGTCGTTTGACAAAAATCATTCAAAACGGCATAAAACTTGGCTAGCCGTGGTTTTCACTTAAATGACGTGGTTTTTAAAGTGTCTTACTCGATTTATNCATGGGTTCTTGACTAACCACTCACCCAGCGATGGGAAGATCTTCCCATCGATGGGTAAGCGGCCCCTCAGCCAAACCAGTTTCCAGAACCATGCCAAACAGCGATGGGGAGTTCCACCCATCGCTGTTAGAGCCTGGGTGCAAAATTACCACAAGGCAGAACGACCTTGCCCAGCGATGGGAGGCCTATCCCATCGATGGGAACCCAGCGATGGTAAGGGTATACCATCGATGGGAAGGCATGACCGTTGGTGGTCATTAAAGGTTGATTCTTTCCTTGTTTGGAAGTCAAACTCCCACCCAGCGATGAGAAGCTTGTACCCATCGATGGGTAGGTGACCGTTGACTTCAAAACTGAAGGAAAATTGGCTTACCAGCGATGGGTAAGTTCCAAACATCGATGGGAAGCCAATATTCTGCAGATCCCAAATCTTTTCAATCCCATAAATCAAGCCAATCACCCCTTTAATGCATTGGTCCGTTGGAGCCTTCCTTGGCACTATAAAAAGGGGTGTTTGGGTCTGCTTTTCTCAAAAATTCACTTCACAACATCTATACTTTCATTGCATTCAAATATCATAATTTTCCATAGCTTTCTAGAATCACTTGTGTGAAGGTTGAGTTGTTCTTGAGCGTACTTAGTTTACTCATAATCTACTCTATAAGAGAGTCTCGTTCTTGAGTGTACTTGTGTTCTTAGACACGTTGAGAGATAGCATCTCTCTCGGTTGATTCAAAGGAAGGTCTGTTTCCTTTGAAGGATTCGTTGAGGTTCGTGTGACTCGAACTCTCAAGTTGTAACGGTTTGTTAAGCACCCGTAAGCTTAACGAGTTAGTAGTGTAGCTCGAGAGAGTCTCTCGGGAGGCTGGATTAGCCACAAGTTGTGGTGAAC